CTCTCCCTCAACAAGATCTACTACACTTCCGATCTGGCCAGGACTATCCTCACACTCAACAAAGACCGCGGCATGAAGTTCATACATTGCGGTGTCGTCATGTTCGTCGCGCACAAGATCAAGGACCAGGATCGTACGCAAGCACCATGGAGGTTACAAAACGAGGGTATCCGCATCCTCGAGCCATGGGCAAGGAAGCGCATAGTCAAGCTAGAGAAGAAGGAGACTCTACACCAGCTCATCCGCGAGATGTTCCCTAAGCTACCCAAAGAGGGCGACACCGGCCTCGGCGAAGTCGGCTCGCAGCTCCAACAGATGGACGTGGGCTGCTGCTTCATTCGCGTCGAGAAAGACGACGAGAAGGGCATTCCGTTCCGCATGGTCCTTCCTCTCTGGAGACATCCCGGCAGCGCCAACCTCATGGTCGACAAGGATGACCGCAAGGCCATGCTGCTTAGGTTGTTCAACGAGAAGGATACCGAGATCATCAACCATGTTGCCGACAAGGCCAAGGCGGAGCAGCAAGCTCGTGATGCTAAGGTGAAGGATGAGGGAGATGTTAGTGACGGCGAGCAAGCCACCGAGGCCATGGTCGCTGAAGAGGAAGAGGGCGCTATGAAGGTTGAGGTCGAAGACGACGATGTGAAGATGGAGGGCGATGCCTAGGCGTCGTCATCTCTTCATGACGGAAAAGTCATTATTAGAGCATTCTGGCTTTGGCTCATTATCTGGTTCGCATTTGGGTTGGCGTTTTATCTTTTCCTAGGTATCATCTAGAGCTTAGCTTCTTACTCTATCACGCATATCTATGTATGAATGTCATGATGCAATCATTCAACACCGTCATCAGAGTCTGAGTAGAGTACATGACGTGAAGCTCTTCTTTCCATCATCTCAGTTATCATGTATTACAAGGGGTATACCAATAAAACTACAAGACATACTTTGAACTCCCCATCCCTTCCCTTCCCTATCATAAAGCCGCGCTCAAAAATCGAAACAAGAATAAACCACACAGACTCTCACGCAAATTGATACCTCCCCCTCAAAAAGCCCACCTAAGACTTTTCCTTTTCTTTATCGCCCGCTTTCGTCGCAACACTCTTCCCGCTCTTAACACTCTTCCCACTCTTCATACTCTTCAAGCTCTTCTTACTCGCACTACGCTTCAGCTTCGCTTTGAGTTTACTCCATTTCTCTCTTAGGCCGCCGTCTTCGTCCTCCTCAGTATCCTTTGGCCGCTCGACGCTATCGAAACTGCCGCGCGGGTACTCGAGCTCGCTGCCAATGTCCACGCTGTCGTTGTTTCGGGCGTGTTGCTGGTGTGATTTGCGTGGTGTTTGTTTGGACGGGGTCTGGATGCCAGAGCCGGAGCCGGGGATGTCTTTGTGCCGACCGAGGAGCATGAATTGCAGGGTTTGCCAGGCGGGCATGTTGGCGATTGGGCTGTCTTTTTCGTTGGCTTGGACGTCGGCGTTCTTCCAGGGGCAATGTTCGCGGTGGGACTCCAAGAGATTAAGTCGCAGACTCTCAATCGGCACATCTAGTTTCTTGCTCATTTCTGTGAGGCGCGTGGCGGAGGAGAGCCACAGACCCAGGCGCTGGAAGCAGTGGTTGCATACTGCGAGGGAGATGCGTGATTCGGAGACGCCGGTCCAGCCGAAGAGGGCGAAGATGAAGGCTACGGTGTCGCTGGGGGAGAGCGGGGGTTGGGTGCCGGAGGATGTGAAGAAGGAGGAGGGGATGCGGGAGAGGATTTGTTGGATGGGTGGGTCGGGGTAGGTGATGTGTTCGAGGAGGGGGAGGTCGGTGGCTATGGCTTTGAGGAAGCGGTATCGGTCGAGGAGTTCTGCTGAGCTCTTGGTGCGTGATGCGATGGGGATATGGTAGATGTCTTCTGTTTGGGGTATTAGTCGTGTTACCGCTCCTACTGTGCGTGTCCTCATACCTTGACACCCTCGCTTCCTCCACAGGCAGTCATCCGAATGTCCCTCCACAATGAGGTCCTTGTATCGCTCTATCAGAGCGTCGTCGATGTCGAAAGCCAGATCTTCGCTCATCTCCAGATCTTTCCCGTTCGCATCTTTCCGCTTCGGCCTCAGCTTGACCGCAACACGGTTCTCGCATCCACCCTTGCAGGCTACTGTGTTCCAGATATCGCAACTCCAGCCCCGCTTTGCCCACTCGACCTCGTTGATGGCATCTGGCTTGGTCGTCCACTTCCTCACGTCTGCAAACGTCTTCAGTCGCTCGAGGAAGTGCTCCTGGCTGTATGGCTGGAAGTTGGGTGCTTTGCGCGGCGTCGAGGCTTTTGGTGTGACTACAGTTTTGCCTACGACCTTGATAGTCTTTTCCCTCCGTGGGGTCATAAGCTGTTCCTTGAGCTGCCGTATGCGCTCCTGCCCTTCCGATATGCCTCTCTGGCGCTCCATGCTCAGGTTTGCGCTGCGCGGACGCTTGTTCGGATGTTCAGGGCTGTCTGGTTCCGAAAGCGCGGAGAGGGACGCGGTCGATGCATTTGACTCTTGGAGAGTGCTCGCAAGAGAAGTCGTCGAGTTGCTTGCGGTGAGGTTATCGAGGAGCTTGTGGAACTTGCGCTTCGTGGTCGCAAGCGCAGGCTGCTGCTCTGTTGAAGTCATTCCGCCGGAGTGAAAGAGTTCGCGATGATTTGAGTGAAAAGGCGGATCGTTCGGGTGTGATTATTGGGATGCGCGCGTCGTAGAGTCGTGTGTCGATCTTTGTTTACGTCCACTCGAGAAGAATGCCAGGTCCGTCTATTCACTCAGCATCGATCGGTCACAGTCGAAAAGATATGGTAAAAGCTGCACTTCGCGAGACAAGACCGCAATCTCGAATGTCTGTGCACTAACAGCAGTTGCAAGCCGTTGGGGGAAGTGTTGTTGCCATGGCGGCGACCCGATTCCCCATGCAGTAACCTCCGCCCGCAGCGCCAAGGCCAGCGCCAGCGGGCTGCGTCGCGTCCACCCACCTCCGTGCAGAACCCCACCAAAGCGACAAGGAGGGGCTGAAGATTGTTAGTGTTAGCGTTCAATGCCCACCCAAATTGCGCCATCAAGATTCTTCCTGCTCGCACTCGTCATCCTGGCTATCTCACTTGTCAATCCATCGCTGTTCTCTCGCAGTGTCGCTCGTCTTTCTCAATTGAAACACCACTTCTACCCGTCCGCCGCACTTCATACCCGTCCGCCGCACATATACACGACCTCGAATCGGAGCATACACACCATGGCCTACGAAAAGGAACTGGAGATCGCTCTCCTCGCCGTCCAACGCGCTTCCATCCTCACAAAGTCCGTCTACTCGAGCCATTCCAAAGGCACGCTATCCAAGAGCGACTCCTCGCCCGTCACAATCGGCGACTTCGGCGCACAAGCCCTCATCATCGCATCGATAAAGCACGCCTTCCCCGAAGACGAAGTCGTCGGCGAAGAAGACGCCAATGACCTCCGCAACAACGACTCGCTCCGCGACCTCGTCTGGGACCTCGTACAAGCCGCGAAGCTCTCCGACAGCAGCGCAGAGGAAAAGATCGGCGGACCCATCAAGAGCGCAGACGCCATGCTCGCAGCACTCGACCAAGGAAACAGTGAGGGCGGAAACAAGGGCCGTATCTGGGCTCTCGATCCCATCGACGGCACAAAAGGCTTCTTACGCGGTGGACAATACGCCGTTTGTCTCGGTCTCCTCGTAGACGGCGTCCCCACCGTCGGCGTAATCGGGTGCCCCAACCTCCCCGTCGACGACCAAGCGCCCCTCACCACAACCACTGGGCAAGACGCCGACGACAAAGAGGGCAAGGGCGTTCTGTTCGGCGCTGTCAAGGGACAAGGTGCTACAAGCCGCCCCCTCAGCGCCGGCGCCCTCACACAAGCCAACCCCATACAAATGAAACCCCTCTCCGACGTCACCCAAGCCACCTTCTGCGAATCCGTAGAAGCAGGCCACTCCTCCCAAGGCGACAACGCAGCCATCGCATCCAAGCTCGGCATCACCAAGCCCTCCGTACGCATGGATTCGCAAGCAAAGTACTGCTCCATTGCGCGTGGAGCAGGTGATTTGTACCTCAGGCTGCCGGTGAGCAAGACGTACCAGGAGAAGATTTGGGATCATGCGGCGGGTGTTGTGCTCGTGCAGGAGGCGGGGGGTGAGGTTAGTGATGCGTATGGGAAGCCGCTTAACTTTGGTCTGGGCAGGACGCTTAGGGAGAATAAGGGTGTTGTTGCTGCGCCTAAGGATGCGTTTAAGCAGGTTATTGAGGTGGTTAAGGAGGTGCTGTTGAGTAAGAAGGAGTAGAGATGTGGTTGTTGAATGATATGATATCATGATTATGTGTACTAAGTTATGCTGCTTTGGTTGTGATCTCCTGCGTTTTGACGTCTTGGAAAACTTTGTGTAGGGTGCTGTCATGACGGAGCCAGTATCACGCTTTTTGCTCTCGAAAGACATTGCGAGTGGAACAGTCACAATCAACCAACCAAGCGCATACACCCATTCTAACAGAAAACCCACGTCCGAACTCTCATTGAACTACCCCAATACTCTAGTTGTTAAAAAAAAGAAAACGCCAAAATGCGGAACCATACAGATACCCACAAGATAATCCCTCCCTTCCCATACCAACCCAACTTACTCCTACTCCAGTTCCAGTCCCAGTTACAATCCCAATCCCAATATACCAGTAAAATACCCTCCCATATCTCCACCAGCAAAAGCCCTAGTAAAGCGTAACTAAACTTGCCCATTTTCGAACCGTATTTCCTTCCCATTGGGTATCACCTGCTTTAGATCCTCCATCGTTTCTTGCTCCGTGGAGACAAGTTTGTTTCCTTAGCCTTTGTTTACTCCGTTAAAGTGCAATTTGGTATTTCTTTTTCTCCGTGTGGATGATGTTGGAGATGACGTTGCTGCTGTGTTGTTGAAGTGAGCGATACGGTGCGTTCGCATTTTGAGATAGACTGTCAAAGTTGTTGAGTGACGACTCATGCCGTAAGTGTGGTGGTTGGTGTGAGGATACCACCACCGAGGGTATCGTCGCCGGACTCATCGACAAAGGTGCTTTCGGCACCTGCGTCAAGTTCATCGGTATCTATATCCGCCTCTGCACCGGTGTCGTTGACTTCCTCAGTCTGTTCTTGCTCGTTGTCATGTTGGACATGTTCAGCCTCGACGTCTACCGGTAGATGCAGTATATGGGCACTCATTCCTGGCACAGGAGTAAGGTGCATCTGCGCTAGTCCTTGTTGAAGTGCCTCCACCTCCTCATTCACGTCTTCGGTCATCTCGACGTTGTTCTCTTCATCGTCAGAATGGTCGTAGGCAGCGTGGTACGGCGAAGGCCCCGACGCACTGATGGTGGTCAAGTTTGCGGGTTCCTCCATGACGCCGAATTCTGTTGTCACGGTGATAGAGTCCGGGCTCGGGATGGGTAGCTCGTGTGCATATGATGAGGGGCCATCCATGGTCGGGTTGACAGTGCTCTCATCATAGACTGTTGTGAAGAACTCGAACATCTGTCCAGCCAGCTCATCTGCTTGCCCGCGCTCTTCTTTGTCTTTCCTCTGCTTGGCGATGGCACGAAGTTGCTCTTCTTTCTTTTGTTTGATCTCCGCCTCAAGCCGGCATTTGGCACGAACATTGGGTTTGTGTGTGCATGTCGGGCAGTGGTAGTTGACAGTGCAGAATGTGCACGTGCAAGTTGGATTCGATGATGCGCATTGCTAAAGACATGTTAGAGATCTGTCATAACCAGGGATTGGTACTAAACTTACATCGCAAACAAGAACCGCACACTCCGAGCACTCCTTGAGAATTGCTGGACACTGTGGTCGGACATCTCCTGCGGGTCTCGGGTACTGGCAAAAGTATGCACCACAACCACTCCATTGGACTGGATGGCGTGGGTTACACGGCAAGGGAAGAGGATTCGTGACTGGGTGATTAATAGGAACGCGTTGCGAATTCGGCGGCCAAGCACTGGTGGGTCGACCGCGGACGCCAGACACACTGAAGGAACGCGGACGACCAGAGCTGATGGGAACAAACGATAGCGAGGTGGCAAGTTGGAAAGGCTCGGGATTTGAAATGGAATTGAAGGATGTGGTGGTCGACATATCGATTGACGAGTGTTGGGGAGCAACCATGATCTGCGATTGAGACATGGGTGTCTCGGAGGATTCAGACTCATTGTCACCTGTGGAGTAGAAGTCTAGATGCGATGACGACGCTGTGGGTGTGCGTTCAGGATCCGGTGTACTGGCCCTATTTGGGTTGAACTCGGGTATGACGAGGCGTTGTGGCGGCTCGTTGTGTGACCGCACATGGTCCCGCTCTGTATGTAGGTCCCGATAGCCACACTTGCGGACCTTGAGCGCCCTGAAGTCATGCTCCTTGCATATGGGGTTTTTGCAAGCCCGACATGACACTTTCCACCGGAAGCTTCGATAGCAGTCGTTACATAGCCCTCTCGGACATGTTTGTTGTTGCAGGTCGAGCGAATCCTGCTTCAGGTACGAAAGGATATCAACGTCTTCCCCAAGCACATATTCGTACAGGCCGTTATTCTTCAGCTCCCGGACGTAGTCCACGGGTCGAAGTGTGTTGCTGAAGTCCGGATCCTCATACTCCTTCGTGCGAGGTAAGGGCGCTGCGCGTATCTTATCCGCTCCTCGGCCACCCAGTCCGGTACCCAGAACAGCAATACCGCCACCGCCAGAGAAGATGGGCTCAAGACAGCACCAATGCATGTTCAATTTTGGAGGCTCGCGGTTCGCAGGTGGTACAGGCATACCGTTGTTCCCGTCTTCGGAATCCGAGTCGTCATCATCCTGTGCACCCTCGTTCATGAGGTTCGGTGATCGGCTCGCACCTGGGGCCCACCAGAAGCGGTTTTGGTCGGCCTTTTCCTCTTGACTCCGGTCTTCCAGTGGTCCAGAAGACCCTGACGCGTGACCGAGTGTGCCGCCCAATGTGCTACTGTTGCCAAAAGCCAGGTTTGCAAAGTGCCGTGTCTTAACCCGTTTCCTGGGTATCGGCCTGTTGAAGGCGCAGCTCGCACAGAGCGTCTTCCTGCAGCCCATGCAGTGCATGCGGACACTGCACGACTCGCATCGCTCCAGGATGGGATCGTTGCATTGGGCGCATTTGACCTCTTCAACAAAGGCAGTGTGGCTCCTCCGCTCGTGCACCGGGACATGTTTGCCTTCTCCGGCGGAGTTCCCGTCTTCGGGACCGAGTGGCTCGCCGTCCTCTCCTGTCTCGGCAATCTCCCATAATCTGCCATCGTGTTCGCCCAGCTTTGTCGTGCCTTCTACCGGGCCAATGCGGTTGCTCGATCGCCATAACCGGTCAAAGGGTACCCAGACTTCCATGTTCTGGGGTCCTGCTCTTCCGGCGTGGTAGTCCTTCCTCCGATTGCACCTGCCGCCCGGTGTCGGACACCACGCTGTATCTGTCCATATCCCCAACTGATGGCATATCTCGATGAGCTGGTGGGTAGGGTCGGAATCGGAGTCTCGCCGGATGAGGGAGGAGGGCAGATAGGGCCGCCGGCGGTGGTGTCGACAGCGGTAGGTGTACAGGCTCTTCAGAGCGAGGTCCTTCTTTATCCAGGGTGCGTCCTTGAGTGTGTAGGGTTCGAGGAAGGGCACGATGTGGTACTTGATGGAGACGTTCTTGCAGCCGCGTACCGACAGATGCTGGAGGGTGTCTTTGCGCGGGCCAACTACGTCGCCGATGAGCGAGACGCCAGCCACGGCCGTGTTGCAGAGGTCCAGGCTGGTCAATCGTGACCCGTTCGGCAGTATGGTCTGTATGAGCAGGGCGTTCAGCGAGTAGGCCTTGGACTGGCGTTCCCGGTTCTCAGGCGTCTCGTTGCCGGGCGAGCCCACTGCGACGGCGGGCTGGGGCAGGCGGAAGGAGAGCGTCTTCCATGCGAGGGGGTACTGCTGCAGGAAGTGGCGCAAGTGACGTGATGTGTGGTAGAGTTCGAGGAGGGTGACGGTGGAGATCTGGGCGAGGAGCGACTCCAGGACGGGCGGGTACGAGGTGATGATGGACTCGAACAGGCTGAGGGCGGCGCCTGGTGCGGCGGCGTGGCTCACTGCTATCGTCTCGGTGTGCGTCGTCGCGGCTTTGTCGCCATGGCGGGTGGTGCAGGCCCCGAAGTCGCCGTGGCCGCCGTGGAGTATCGTGCTCATGCTGCGTGGGTGGTGGGTGAGGGTGTCTACACAATCACGCCCGGGGAGGAGAGAGCAGCGACATGCACGGGTGGAGCGCGTTGAGTCGTGTCGCGCAAGCGAAGATGGTCGTGTGAGATGGCTTGGCCAGCCGTCGGTCGCAGGCCAGGGTTCTTAGGCCAAGATGAAGGCGATCCGTTTGCCGTCGCCGGGCGATCTTTGTGCCTCACCGATAGCCAGGTGCGACTAGCAGTACCATCATCACTGTTACTCGGCTCACGCTGCCGGCGACCACCTCAAAGACGCGAAACTTGACGTGCCAAGCTGAGACTTTGATAGATATGCATTCGGCCCTCCTCACCCTCATACCGGCGCCAACCAGCCTATCAGCCAGCGGCACATTGCAGTCCCTCAGCCTTGCCGCGACAGCCCTCTGCCAGCTCAACACGGTGCATCACCTGGCGACACTAGTGCGCGTTGCTTTTGCCTGTTGGCAGACACGACACTTCAATTCCATTCGCCTGTGCGCGTCCATAATCACATCATCCGCGCTTGCTGTGCGACTGCTACTGAAACCCCTTTACCCCGCTGCGCTGTGCCAATTCGCCACCCTCAGCATATCATGGCAGGAGAAACAACACCAAACTAAAAATATTACATAGGCTACGCTAAGAGGATATCAAACAAAGTACGCCAGGTAGGCCCTTGAGCAAAAAGTTATTGGCCATACGCTCGTGCCCACAACATGTTCCAACAAAAACAAAGACAAAACGCCGCAGGGACCTTTTGCGCTACTGAGTGCATACGCAGGGCAGCATGCGAAGAGCAAAGAGCATGCAGCAAAGTTGTGTCCCTGTCCTGATCATCTGCAGACTAAATATCCCAAGTACCATAATCAGAACACCCAATTGCCCTGCGTATCCCGATCTTCAAGCCCATCAAACAGAACTATATCCCATTGGTCCTCATCCTCACCAGCCGGCGGCCACAGCGAATTATCAATGAACGAAAACACTGGAAGGTGCTGACCCGTAGCCGTAGCATTCATCAACTTGCCCGCATCAGAATCAATATCGAAGACCGGGCGTATGGGCAGCTTCATAAACTCCAATTCCACTGTCCCGAAGAAAGGTATCGTATGGCGGACTTTGCCACTAGGCTGTTTGCTCGGGTCCAGTGAGGAGAGGATCTTCTTGAGTACTATAGCGCTGCGTGCTGCGATTCTTTCGCGTGGGCTGGCGCCGGCGAGTTTTTCCATTTCGCCGATGAGACGACATATCATAGCGAAGTCTGTTCCTTTGGTCTTCTTTACTTCGACTTTGTCTTTTGTGCCTAGCTCGATGACGATATCGAGGGTGAGTGTGACGGCGGCGATGAAGACTGAAAGCTCGGCGAATCGACAACAGGCTTGCGTGATGCTTGCGTTGCGGAGCGCGAACCATCTCATCAAGATGTTGCGACAGGCCTGTAACGCGGTGACCTTGGAGTACTCGTATCGATTGTCGAGATGTGCTCTGAGTAGGTAAGGCAGGTGGATGAATAGCTTCATCTCAAAGTGCCAGACTTGCACCATCAGTCGCTCCAGTGTGGCGAAAGACTCTGGCGACCTTGCTGTCGACGGTATATTTGGTACTTCCCAGAAGTCCTTGGGCATCTCCTTCATGGAAAATTCCAGCTGCTCGTCCAATGCCAGCGCTGCCGAATATGCCTGTGGCGAGACATCGCGATCAAGCTCCGCCACTTGTCTTGTCAGGTAGTTGAGTTTCGACCGATGAACCAGATGTGGGCTGGCGTCTGCTGGAAGTGGATAGTCGTCCGCGCCGAACGGGAGGCGGAGATGCAGTCCTAAATACCGATCAATGTCAACGAAGTGGCGCCATATCGACTTGGCGTCCGAAATCGCTGGGATCGGGGGATTAAGGTCGTCCTGCGCAATGATGCGCTGAAATCCCATAAGATGTGCCAGGCTTAGACCGCGCCGCACAACAAGCCATGACTGCCGTAACGAAGCACTGTTTAGATGGTAGAGAGCTAGGAGCAAAAGCACCTCAAGTCCATGCAACGTCATCATCTGCTCGTCCGAGGAGGTTACCAACGATGTCACCGTCGATACATAGTTTTGCATCGTCACCTCCATGTTCCAGATGCTCGAGAGGCGCGAATGGTCGAAATCGGGTGGGAGCGAGTTGATACAGATGGCCAGATGCAGTAATGTGCGAGCGATGATGATAGGCCGCTCTTGTGCCACAGCCTGCATACACAGAGCGTACGACTGCAAGTCGTTGTTAACATATATCTCTTTCGACGCCCGGTAGATGCCTTCTAAGATCATCCACCCGTTAGACGATTCGAAAATGATATCTGCATCGTGCTGTGATGGCAACAAGGCGGCTAGGGTTCGGTGAATATTGTCGTAGTCTGAGGGCTGCCCCTTGCTATCTGACTTGTTGACCGAAGTACGAAGAGAGGGCGCTGAAGTCCATGTTTGCGCCCCAAGCTGACAACGTTAGTGTGGGCGGTAGGACGAATAGACTCGACTTACGATCCCATCGGCCAGTGAGGAAGTGCTATACGCATCGCTTCGCTGTTCCGATACATCCGGTTTGATGTCTTTCTCGATAGAGCCTGAGGCAGTGAGGGCAGGGCTGTGCGGCACAGTAGTGGCGGCGCCTGCGGTGGCATTTTTACGGCACACAAATCTTTCAAAGAGTTGTTCCAGTTTGCATAGCCTTTCTTGGATGTGGTTTGAGCATGGATTCCCGTCATCTATCCGATCCGATCCGGTGTTGTCCATGATGGCGGAAGAGTTGAGGGTAGTTTGGCTCGCATTCCCGTGAACCTTGCGCTTCTTGCCTGTAGCATCTTTAGTAAGTAGTCCAGATAATGTGTAAACGGATCCTAGTCTTACACTCCCAGCATGCCCGGCGTAGACTTTTCGAAGGTCGTTTCTTAGAAGTATTACTCGCGTTACTCAATGATTCCATGATAGTCTTGGCGACAACAAACGATGAAGATGGTATGATTTACGGAGATCTGGTATTCCTGTCACAGGCCTATACCTGATAGGGGCGGCCATGTTACTTTCATAGCGGGGTGAAGGTGTTGCGATGGCAATGCTGATGTGGAGCTGACCTGTCGGACCGCCGGCCGGGTTTCGTCCGCAACGGATGCCGAGAATTCCTCTACTTTAGTGATCATACAGCTCCGGCGCTTGGTAACGGCAAGGGAGGCTCGCCCGAGGATATGGCCACCTTAATAAGCGTGTCTCTGAACGGGTACGGTAGAATATACTCGTGTTTGATGCTTTTAGTGTGCTTTTATCCGCAGTCCTCGATTTCATAGGTACTTTGGTGTTGAGAAGTTCGCAATTTTGGATTATCGACATGTCGGCTCCAGGGATGCTCCGACGGATGATTGCACAACGCGACCAGTGCTTATGCGGCCTATCTCCGCCGTGTTCGAACGCACTTAGAAAAGCCACGCGCATTGTTGACAAAGTCTGGAAAACTTGCCTCTCGGATACGGATATCCTATTACCAACATGTCGCTCAAGATCGTAGTTTCTGGTGTCACCGGTCGCATTGGCGCGCATGTGCTGCACCATGCGCTACAAAACCCGCTCGTATCGAGGGTCATCGCAATATCACGGCGGCCCCCACCCGGGATAGAAATGCACGCTAAGCTGGAGGTAGTGTTGCTTGAGGACTTTACAAAATACCCCGACGATGTGCTTGCGAAACTATCCGGGGCAGACGGATGCATCTGGTACCGAGGCACCTGCGTCATACTCCCCAACAACTGCTGACGTTCAAGGTGTATGACAACAACGGCTGGTGATCCCATGTTAGAGTTAGAATATCCCAGGGCGTTTGCTGAGGCGTTTGCATCGACCATGCCTGTCGACTCAAAGCGCTTTCGGTATTTGCACTTGTCAGGCGGTATGGTGGAACGCGATCAGGAGAAGTCATTATGGATGAAAGGCTCGATGCGCAAGATCAAGGTAGGCGATTATTGTTCTTTTGTGATACCATGTGCGCAAATTGCAGTTAGAAAGACCCGGGGCAAGCTGCCAAACGTGCTGACTCTGCATAGGGCCGAGGAGAAGTTCAAATGCTTGAATTCGCCAAGATGAATGAAAGCTGGAGAACGGTCATAGCTCGGCCAGGCATGGTCGTACAAAGAGGTAGTATTGTTGGTGAGGCTTCCATGATGATGGCTGGCTCTTCTGGCTCCTTCATCCGATTTGATGAGCTTGCGCTTGCACTCGTAGATGCGGTCGTACATGGCAGTGAGGAGCTGTTGCTACCTTCTATGCTCGTACAACGGGGCCAACAATTGGCAAGGGAGGCCACCGAATGACCTGTTCAGTTAGAAATGAGGACGGTTATGGAGTTGGAGATATGTTGGATTCCATTTGATCCATGAGTTGGAAGCGAAGGCCGGCGCCAAACTACCGCTTAATTTCCTACCCGCAGAGTGTCTCCGCAGTTGATCACTGTCAATACCGGGGAGGTTCCGCATGTGCGCATGACGATCGAGATCATCTATGTTCATCCGCTATCTGCTGGTATTCCCAAACTCCGACGCAACGTAACGCAGAGTGAGACCTTTCAGGCGTACATATCATCGTAGTCTTCTTCGTCGTCATCCGCAGGCGGTGGCGGCGGTTGTTTCTTTTTCAACAGTTCTTTGCGGTCAAGAGGGCATGTGGAGTTCAGCTTGAGCCAAGGTCCTATGCAGTCCAGGTCGAAGCGATGATCGTCGTGACAGGGCAGCTGGACTACGAGTGGGTACTTGTCTATGCAGTTACCATCAGCCAAGCTCTCCATTGGGTCTTTGAGACGTGCGACGTACCTTCAAGGAATGGGTTCACGCAAATGGGGCAGGTGTCTGAAGGCTTCAGCGCTTTCTTTGGCACCCGCTCCAATTCATCCAGGAAGCTGTTTGGAACTCCCTTCAGTTCTGTGGGCGGATCGTCGGCATTCTCGCGGAGCATCTCGATCATACTCGCTAACAGATCCCCGTGTTCGTTGCTCTCGTCCGCCGGTCGTCCGCGCATGGTCTCGAAAGCATTGGCAAGCAAGCGGAAGGCCGCCGCCATGTTTTCGGGCTGCGGTAAAGCATTGGCATTTGTGTGCGCGCTGGGGTCCGACGTGTCCACGAGTTCAAGCTGCGAGAAGAAGGTCGAGAGGTCTGGTCGGCGCGAGGGTTGCTGCGACTTGTCGTCTTCGGTGGAGATATTGTGTTCAACTGTCTGGGTTAGCTGTTGTGTCGCGCACACAGTCGCTCCTGCCTACCTTCGTAGCCCGACATGGTGGCGGTATTCCAGATGTCGCAAGTCCGGATTAGGGTTTGTGGTTTTGGCGGATGTCCTTGCCAGCTGAAATTATGAAGCTACGCGGAGTAGACGCGTCACAGCAGCAGCCTGAGACCCTGCAGTCTGGAAGGTGCGACCCCTCAGTTGTGGCGCAGGTGGCGCTCATCAGCCACATCATGACCCACACTGCATGACAATTCCACCTTCCGCTGGCTCATCCCAGTTCTGCTCGCCATCGGCTTTCACTTTGGCCGCCGTCATTCTGCGACTGTCACATCGACGTGTGGCGCAGCCCAAGCCGCCACCCTCATTGGCGCTCGCACAGTCCGAAGACAAGCTAACACTAGGGGAAGCTTGTCCATGTGGTATGCCATTCTTGCGACACGCGACACTGACGCGTTCGTTGGTAGTAACTAGTGAGGCCGCGTCTGTCGTTCAAGGTTAATGTGCAGTGTGGAGGAGTTCCCTGTCAGCGCTGTCCCCAGTCTAGCGACGCTACAGGCACCTTGCACCACCTGCGCGAGGTTGGGCGCTGCATGCATATCTTGTCGATATCTGGGGAAACAAGCAACTGATGCCCAGGCACAGATCTCGGCAAAGATGCGACTCCATTGGAAACCGCTGGCGTGCACTCGAAGCAAATAATTGGGGCCTTGTGGAGCCGGTGATCCAGATCATGCACAGCCTCCTAGTGTCCGCAACCAAGTCGTCACGCACACTTTTCCTTGACAGACAACACAACATGCCGTAAAGGGGCGCAGCCATCGCAGCGGCAACTGATAGAGTCAGATACAAGAGGCAAAGCAGCCTCTGTGACACACTCGAGGTCTGAAGCTTCACATTGCCAGTAGGAGTCTTACAGTGCACAACACTCACCGCTTGGACCATCGCCGCCGACGACTACCACTTCACTACTTCACTACTACATCTAAATCTCCACCTCCGCTCAATGTCGCTGCTCGTCATGTCAACAGACCCACCTTCTGCTTTTGAGCGATTATCGCCCTCCTGGATTCGCCGTCCCATGTCTCGAAGATCGACATCACCGCAAAAAGAGTCGCGGCCTACAACAGCAAACGGCCTACTTGCACCAGAACCAACATCAACATTCAGCAATAGCGATGGCACACGATCACCACGGTCAAGCTCATCTAGCCGCCGCGGGTCGATAATAGAGTTTGTCACCAGGTTCCGCTCTTCGTCCAACGCCAGTATCGCAAGCAACAAGTCGCAAGACCCAACAGACTTCAGTGAAATCGAGAACTGGTTCTACGGATTCCGGAGATACAACCAACTAGTCAGCACCACCTCATCAACAAACAAAGCAGACCAACCGCAAGACCTCTCGAAACCTTTCAAGAAGCTGACGAAGAAGTGCGGGGGTCAATTTCTGCACGGGCTACCAGAAGCAGTCTTTGACTTCTCACTCCTCTGGTGTCCCGCAGGCCACCTGACCAGGAAAGACAACAACGAACCATCCTGGAGCTGGACCGCCTACGAAGGTCCAATTAACTTCCCATTCGACCCAACAACCTGCCCCGATGTGTACAAACTGCCACGCAGCGAGGGCGAATGGTTCCAATCCGAGATCTTACACTTCCACGTCGGTCCTGAGTCGGCGCAATACACCGTCCGGCGGGAAAAAGAAAACTCCCTGCGTATCAAATACCCGCCTTATTTCCACGCGCCGCGCGGCTCAGACCACACCAACGAGTCCAACACCCTGCGCTTTACGGCGGCGACTATTAGCGCGGATGCGTTTACCGCAGAGCCCAACACATACGAAGGCAACGAAACCCCATCCTCACAGCTCATCAACTCAGACGGCAAAACCTGCGGCGCAATCATGGACTACGAATCTGAACTCTCAAAGCCCTCTTCCACCGGTCCTTTCGAGTTCGTGCTGCTGTCCAGGAACCTGTGGCGCGAACCAAATCCCGATAATAGCAAGCCGGGGTCGAATACTATGCATCCGACTGGCACGCCGATCTGGAATGGACAGCGTTTTATATGGGATGAGAGAGTTGTTGACCATGATGAGTGCTTTGAGATGGGGCCGTGGAAGATGCTGAATGTTATGCTCATTAAGTGGGTGGGTGAGTATGCGGAGAGGGTGGCGGTTGCGAGGATACATGAGGATGAGTGGAAGAAGCATAGTCCGAGTAAGCAGGATATTGTGCTGAGATGAGATGGATCTTTCCTTTGGTCATGATTAGAGCGATGAGATGGGTATGATGGTAGATATGCCGTTCAATAATGCTATTTTGAGCATACGGATAGCCGAATACGACTCGAGTTTATACGTCAGATCTGATTTTCATGAAATTGTTTGCTGACTACAAAAATTATCTCATGATCTCATTTCATGCCGCTACATGAATGTATGAGTCTAGCAGTCAGATACCCTTGGTACTCGAGACTCGGAGAGTCCACGTAGCCTCCACGACTACTCATGAACCTCCCTCGAGAAAAGCTAAAGTCATCGCATACCTCAAGCCCTCTCCAGCTTCTCCTTTTCCAGCTTCTTCTTCTCCCACTTCGCCACCTCCTCATCAATGCACTTGAAGCTCCAGTTTTGGTAGAAAGGCGGGTACAGGAAAGGCCTCAAGTCGAATCGGTTATCATCTGGCGAATATGCCTCCGCATGGTAGGAAGGCGTCATTGTCGTCATCTTGTGGCGGTTGATGGCATAGTAGTGGAAGAACCGTTTCACCTTGACTGCGACCTCGGTGGGAGTATACTTGTCGGACCATTCGTGTGCTAGGCGAACCCATGTTCCGTATGGACCAAGTTTAAGCTCTTTGCGGCATTTGCCAAAGACTCCGAGTTCTGCGTATGTCATGCCCATATCGACCTCGTCGCTCTGGACATAGTCTTCTGTGAGTGGTTCGAGTTCGGCCGTTGGGGTTGCGTCGATGAACTCGCCGAGAATGGGCAGGTCAAATTCGTGCTGAGCATAAAAAATGAAGCTCTTGAGGTCGCTTTTGGAGATGCTGCCAATGGGGTTGAGGTCGGCGCTGCTACAGTCGTACTTGGTGAGGTACCCACGCAGACACTCGTCGACGTTTCCTGAGGCAAGGACCAGAAGACTACCTCCATTAGGTCTACCCCTAGTTAATGGGAGCATTTGAGCGAAGTAGTACGCTTGCACTAGACGTGTGCGGGCCTGTATATTCTGCAATGCCAGATTCTCAGCAGGCGAGCCTCCATGAGCCTTGAATCGCGGCGTGAAGCCAGACGCCTTGGTCAAGTTATTCTTTGTGGCGAAAAAAATGTCGTCGATATCGGCCTCAACATGGTAGCATCCAATGTCTTCGGCTAACCTCTTGGCCCGACTCCTGGTCTCTTTGCTTGATTGCTGAGACATGCCCATGTATACGGTATGAAGAATGCCGTTGCATATTTGCTCTGGGCTTGTAGGTACCCAGTCTTCGCCGTGATAGGGGCCTACGATGCGGCGGACATCCTTGAGAACTTGCTTGTTGCCGTCCTGCACAGCCTTGTACACGAGGCGGCACATGGAGAATACCAGAGTTGCGGTGGCGCAGCTATCGATCCCTCCGCTGAGGGGCAGCATGAAGCCAGCCTGACCGGATCGACGGAGGTAGTCCCAAAGCCAGCATGCAGGTCCCAGAGCAATCTCTTCTTCGGGTCGATGGTAGCGGAGCGGCTGTACTGGAGTGGGGCGGATGTTGGGATCAAAGTCTCCGTCAGATGACAGGCGGAAATCCGCCCTGAAACGCTCATATCGAGGAGCTGATGCAGCTTGTAGGCCCCGCGAGGGATTTGTCCTGTATGACCAAATTTCTTCCTATCAGTTGTTAGCACGAACAATAAGACGTCGAACAGCTTTGCCAGCTGCGCAGCTAAAGCTTAGCATAAGAGAAACATACTAGTAAGAAGTTAGTAAGATACCTTTAAAGCTATTTGTAGCGGCTACTATACCTAAGTCGATAGTTGCTGTGATAACCGCAACGTCTTCCAAGGAAAATTGAGATGCCTGTGCTCTCACGGTTCCGTTCACGAGGACCATGCTGGAGCCATCGTAGTACAGACGATCACCATCGCATCCCCTTTGATTGCTATAAAGATACGCGCCACCGCACTGCAGTAGTCAGTCTCACAAGCAGTTAGTATAGCTAGATCGAAAATACCTTGGATGTCGCAGTTCTGTAAAGGTAGAGACATGATGTCAGTGTAAGTCTCACGTGAACTTCGAACATTTCAAGACTTACCGGATCAGATCGAGCCTCGTGTCGAGCTTACGGAGCTCATCTAGCACGCGATGTTAGCGTACTTTCCTTGCTGTATATATGAGGTACTCACGGTGAGAACCTGACGAATTGATGATGATGTCGACGCCCGCTAAGCTCAAGTCGATATGTGGTGCCCGAGGTGTGAATAGCTCTTCGCAGGTCTCGTAGCCTATTGAGCAGTCGAGAGCAGAGATGATGGCGTCTCCGATCGGAACGAAAGCTGAATCTTGAAGAGAGCGCGCAGCAGCGGGAAGCTCATGTAGTTCGTATTGCTCGACGCGTTGGGGTGGAGACCAGGGTATGAAGTATCGGCCTTCTCGATAATTCCCGGCCATCGCGAGGCTCATCTTAGGTCTAATCAACAATATCTTGCCGTCAAGCACAACAATTCTCGCGTTGAAAAGGCTCCCGGAGTGCCGAACTGGCATGCCGACGTCATAGCATATGCCGTCGAGTTCGCGATCCACGAGCAAGGATGCAAGCATTTGCCAGCTGTGTGTGACTGTGTCTTGTTCAAGAAAATGGTCGAGACACCCATATCCAGGAATCGACAGTTCTGGCGTGGTGACATAGCGAGATCCATTCGCCTTGCTGAGCTTTATCGTTTCTCTGATTCTGCCTGTGTTGCCTTCGTAGTCCAGAGCCCAGTTATTGAGATTAGATGTAGAGACTGTGACAAGCCTTCTCATGTTGAGTAACTTGAACGTTCCGGTTGTGGTGGGGTGTAGGTTGGTTGAAGTCGAATTGATGGAGTGGGAGAAGAGTACAAAAAGAAAGGAAAGCCTGGAGGAAATGACTCAAGTAGAAATTTGGGGAAGGTCCTCAGGAGTTTTATTTTCAGTTTCTTGTGACTTGCAAAAGGTAAGTGGTAGTGTAAGCAGACTGAACCACTGACTGGCGGGGTTAACATGCCAAGGCGCTAGGGAATCTAGAGTCTAGTCTGAATTCAAGCGCCACCAGGGACCTAGCCGCAAACCCTTGAAGCCCGTATCGCAATCTTGCCAGTCAGGTACCAGTGATTCTTTCTTGTGACACTCTCTCTTTAATTCTTGCGGTTCGCGGGTCAGCATCTTGCATGACGTCCGCCATTTGCAAGGCTCGCTGCTCACCCGATTGCCGACGACATACGCGTATCGGCTAGTAGCCATTTGCTTTCCCTGCGTCGGTTGTGCCCAAGCGGGAGTTGTGGTTGGCTGCCACTAGAACTGCCCGACGCCAATCCCTAGGTAGTGGCTTTTGAAGGTGGGTAAACACATAGCGGTAGACCCTTTCTCCGCACGTCTCTTCAAATACATCAATGTCGGATTCAATCGACCATGCGATTGCACGCACGCAGGCCAGGCGACGGCGTCGCATAGACCATGCGGATCTAGCGAGGGAGCGGGAGAAGACGTTCTATCGGTAGGCTTATCTCCTTTGGCATGCGCCACCTGGAGAGCTACACTCACCAATGTCACCATCTAGGTACTACCCTCGTCCAGGCTCTCACCTTCCCCAGACAGATGGCCCTGCAAGCCGTCACTCGTCGCCAGGACCGGCTCCCAAGTCGCAGACGCCCCCGACTACCCCGCCGCCCTCTCTAGACTACGCCCCGCGAGCGTCGGACGACAAGGCCCTGACGGCGTTTGCGCAGTTGGGAGCGCTGCGCCTGAATGCGCGGAGATGTCTCATATCCTTCTTCGACAGGACCGACTGCTTCCTCCTCGCTGAAGCTACGCGCACTCTGTCGTTGCAGACTGGCGAGCCCGAATTCGAAGACGACCGTTTGTGCTTCGGCACCACCATCTTCCCCAAAGAACAGAGCCTCTGTAACTACACCGTCAACCTCGCTCCGAAGTACAGCACGCTCCCTCTCGACGATCCGAGCGACCTTCCTTCCCTCGTCGTCAACGATCTCAGCAAAGACAAACGCTTCTGCAACTTTCCCTTTGTCCAGGGCCCACCATACTCGCGTTTCTATGCCGGAGTACCAATCCGCAGCCCAAGCGGCCACAGCATCGGCACATACTGCGTTCTGGACGAGAACCCGCGGGACGGCTTGTCGCCGCACCAACTCGCTTTCTTGAAGAGCATGGCAGGCACAGTAATGCGGCACTTGGAAAGGACCAGGGCAGCTGAAGATCATCGCCGGGCCAAGATCATGGTCAAGAGTCTGGGATCTTTTGCTGAAGGGAAGAGTGGCTTGGAGAACTGGACGGTCGATCCTTGGGATCAGGAGACAGGGCAGTCGTCAGGTCTACCAGATGCGATCATACCCCAGCGCCAACGTCCTTCTGCCAATTCCGACGCTGCGCAAGATCCAGTTGTGCTTAATGGAAACATTGATCCGGCTATGAGAATCCCGAAGGACACTCCACCTGCAACCGGTGCGCCGCCGAGCTTAGTCAACGGAGAGACAGCTGATAGTATGCGTCCGGAGATGACTACTACGACGTCGTCCACTTCCACGAAAGGCTTCACCAAGACTGATCAAAAGGATAGAGTGGCCCCAGAACTGAGGGCTCACTTCACACGGGCAGCGAACATGATCGTCGACTCAACCGAGGCAGAAGGCGTGGCATTCTTTGACGCAAAAATCAGTACCTTTGGAGGTCTTGTCGACGATGACTTTGATCCCGATCAGCTACCTGAGCCGGACAAACCTTGCGATATATTAGGGGCGGCGCTTTGCAGAACCGATCGCGACACAAAGCCGCTACCCAACACCGGAGAATGCATCTCAGAAAGTGTTCTGAGACACCTCCTGCGACTCTATCCACATGGCCAGATTTTCCATCTCGACGACGATCCTGCAACTCCTTCGGTCGCCTCGCCATCGACAGCTGGCGTGGACGAAGTCGAGTCAGCCGACGGGTTTCCGTTCAGTACACCGCGCAAAACAGAATCTACCAGGAGCTTAGACGACGAAGCTTACTTGAGGAGGGTTTTTCCGACCGCTCGGAGTTTGATACTTTATCCATTGTGGGATCCTCATCGCGAACGCTGGTTTGCCACGGCTGTCATCTGGAGCTCGGAACCGAAGAGAATCTTCACAACCGAGCAAGAGCTCAGCTATCTGGCAGCGTTCAGCAACTTTGTCATGGCTGAGGTCGCTCGTCTAGACACAAAGCTAGCTGATGCGGCAAAGGCCGATTTCATCTCGTCGATCAGCCACGAGCTGCGGTCTCCACTGGTATGTACACAAAAACGAACCATCCGAAGCGCATGCACTGACCTTAACTAGCACGGCATTCTGGGAATGACAGATCTGTTGAAGGATTCCCCACTGGATGGCCAGCAGGTATCACACGTAGCAACAATCGAGACATGTGGAAAGACTCTACTGGAAACTATCAATCACGTAAGTTGTTGCAGGCTGCATCAGATACTGCCACTAACTTTATAGGTTCTTGACTTTGCCAAAATCAACAATCTGACCCGGGGAGTTTCGAAGCGCCAGAAGAAGCGGACACAGAGCGCGAAGCACATGATCAGCCCAGGCCAAGCTCATACCAATGACATCATGACACTAATCAACGACGTCGATATGAGCATACTGACAGAAGATGTGGTCGAGAGTGTCTTCGCAGGCTACACCTACGCGAAGACGTCTGCTCAAACATACGAGTTAACCGCCTCTAAAGTAAACAAGCCGCCGATATCTATCATTCTCGATATCAACCAGAGCGACAACTACGTCTTTCGCACGCAGCCTGGCGCATGGCGGCGAGTCATCATGAACCTGTTCGGCAACAGCCTGAAGTATACACCGGGTGGGTACATCAAGGTGAAGCTTGAGGTGAAGCGGAAGCCTGAAGACGAGGACGAGACCTGTGAGTTTCGATTCTCGGTGACCGACTCTGGTATTGGAATGTCAGAGGACTATATCAACAACAGGCTCTTCCACTCCTTTGCGCAGGAGAATCCTTTAAGCCAGGGCACAGGCCTAGGTCTTTCGATCGTCAAACAGATTGTGGAATCTCTGGGAGGTGAGGTAGAAGTGCGTAGTGAGAAAGACCGCGGCACCAAGTTTACAGTCACATGTCCATTGAAAGAGTCACGAATGTCTCCCAACTTCTGTGCAACCGGTCCAGAAGGAGAGAAAGATCTGCAGCTACAACAGGTCACTAAGCGCACCAAGGGTCTGAAAGTGAGATTCGACGGTTTCAATGAGGAAGAGGAGTACCACGTTAGAGACTTGAAAAACAAGACAGCGTCGAAGCTATCGTTAAAGGCGCTCGACAGCCTTTGTGCTGAGTGGTTCGGCATCGAAAGATGCGAGGAGGGCGACAATGCGGCCGAACCAGACCTGATCATCGCTACCGAAACCTGCGCCAAAGCGTTACGGACTACGTACAGCCAATCTCCCGGTCGAGTGTCTCCAACCCCTGTTATAGTCGTGTGCCAGGGCGCCGCATCAGCACAATCTACAACAGCCATTACGGTGCCGGGGATAATCTTCGAATGTATCGGCCAACCTGTCGGACCCCACAAGATGTCGAAGGCCCTAGCCTCATGTCTCGATCGACACGCAAGACGCGCAGAGACACAGAAACTGGACGTCAAGTCCATGATTTCACGGATAACAGAGCTCAGTCTAAAAGAGGAAACAACTCCCCGTCGCACCGACCACCTGCATGTCGTAGAGCCATCCCGACCACAGCTCACCAGCATAAGTAGTGCCCCCGAGATACGCTCAATCAACAGCAGCCCACCCAGAACATCCAAATACCTAAAACCGTCGCGCGCACTGCGATGTCTCTGCGTCGACGACAACCCCATCAACCTCCGCCTCCTACGTACCTTCGTCGACAAACTCGGTCACCAACACGTGCTCGCCGCCGACGGTCTCGAAGCACTTGAAGCCTACAAAGCCGCCAGCGACGAAGAGTCGCGCATCGACGTCGTCCTCATGGACATCAACATGCCCATCATGGACGGCCTCGAAGCCACTCGCCAAATCCGCGCCCACGAAATCCGTTCCAACCTCCCCAAAGTCACCATCATCGCCCTCACCGGCGTCGCCGACACAGACATCCAACAAGAAGCCAACTCCAGCGGCATCAACCTCTTCCTCATCAAGCCCGTCCGCCTTGCTGATCTCGAAGTCATCCTCAAAGGCGTGGTTACCGGCCAAGACAAAGCGAACCTAGAGCTTGAAGCAGAGAAAGAGCGGATTAAACAGGCGGAAGCGAACGCTATCCTCAAAGTCGAAAGCGTGGATGAGAAAACACGCAGTATCAACGTGGGTGTGGCTGTCGTCAAGGGCGAGGACGATATACAGAAGGCGGTTAAGGTGTTCGAGCACAAGAAGAGTGCGTCGGTGATATGACAGCGCATAACGAGTATGCATCAGCCTTTCTTGATGCATGTGCTAAACAAATCGCGGTAGGGCGCTCATACGCATCATCGGATGACCCGTATTCCCCCCGTAAAACTTCCGCGCATATTTCCTCGTTGATCACGAAGTTGGGCATGGACAGGAGGAGTGAATGAATGAACAGGGAAGGGAAAAGCATTCACCTACGCATTTTGGCGTATACTGCATTTGCTCATTCCCATTTTCCCACTTTCCGGCGCGCAAAGGAAAAGAGAAAAGTTGTTGTCAAGAGCGAGCTTGACGAACGGCAGAATGCATGCATGGGGTTGGCAGGCATGTTTAGGCGATTATACCCTTTTCTGTCTTGCGGTTTTACTGTTTCTGCGAGTTCTTGTCCTTTTTTTGTTTTCCAGCTATGGTGTTTAGAGAATTGGCGGATGCGTTCAAGGCGATGGTTGGCGTTTTTTGTTAGGATCTGATCATTTGACTGGTCTGGTAGCATAGCGTGGCGTTTTCGCTTTTATGGGTTGACTAGACACTGGTGGGTCGATTGATGGATGGATGTATCATGATTAGGGTATTGCGGTATGGAGAAATAAACATCAAAGTTAAAAACACACTGTGTGATTGTTGATGTGTTGTGTGCTGTCGGGGTTTCGACTGACATGCAGTTAGAGATACATCAAGTGCTGGCGTAGATGGAATCTGATCTGGAATCTGACAAGTTACGAAATAATGATTCAAAGAGAGTGTGAGTAACTTGTATATAGCTAATGTGGTTATCGAACCCTTATCATGATAATAATAATAACAACACCTGATCCAATCCCATCCTATCCAAATCCAAGCAAAGATCAATCTCCGATCCAAAAGCGACTTCAGAAACTCGTAGGAACTCGAGCTGATTAGCTAGTCTAAGCACCGAGCAAGTCATTGAGCATAGAGTTGTCCTCCTCCCTCAACATGACCATGAACTTACCGACAGCCGGGCCCATGATAACAAAGACCTCAGCAGCCAGAACGTGGGCAAGAACAATGAACATGCCAACGATGATGAAGAAGTTCTTGAAGAACAACTTGATGAGACGGCGGCGAGCCTCCCAGTTGAAAGACCTCCATGCATCCAAGAAGCCAACGACACCGGTTCCACCCATCATCTTGCTAACAACCTTGCCGCCAAAGGTGCGGTCGAAGGGGACGATGGTGTCCTGGTCCTCAGGGAGAATGGAAGCTTCGATGCGGATAAGGGTGACCATGGCGGGGAGGCAGAGGAAAAGAGTGCAGACGATGACAAAGACGAAGAGGGTGAGGATGCGGACGGCGAGACCAGTCCACGCAGCGCAGGAGCTGATCTTCTCCTGCTCGAGCTTGTGAAGACCCATGAGCATGGCTACGCCGAAAGAGAGGTACAGGCTGATGTATGGCATAACGGAAGCGATGGTGGCGGGGACAGCGAGAGTCTTCCAGTGGCTCTTCGAGGGCATGCGCTGCCAGAGGCTCTGCTCGGTCGGCATGCCGACAACCTTGTGTGTCCAGACTGCGTGTACGTTGGCGAGAACGGCACCGGTGATACCAGCGACGATGATGGGCTGGCCGGGAAGCATGGGTAGAGCGCCGTTGAAGAAGGTGGATACGATGCCGGCGAGGAACGAGTACAGAATGTGGACGCGGAAACCGCGGAAGCGTGCGAAGCGGCCGGCGTTGGCGACGAGGTGACGGAGCGTAGCGCGGATAGACGAGGTGATGGGCTTCTGGTTCACGAGGGTGATGGTAGGGCCGGTCTCGAGGAGCGTCTCCTTCTCGTCTTCCTTGTCGGAGGCCTCGTAGGTCGTTGGCGAGACGGTGATGGCGACCATGGGGGACTCGACCATGCAGAGGGTGGTGACGACTTCATTGAGCATGTAGGAGATCTGTTGGTGTCTTGTTAGTACGGGTTCCGGAGATGCCAACGAGACATGGGGTACTTACGAGGCTGATAGCCACACTCGCAATGAAGATGCTAATGTAGATGACAACGACGCCCCAGATCGGGACGTCTTCTGGCTTCAGTTGGGTAGACTCTCCATTGCGCACAGGAGCTCCATTGTGCAAGGCGCGCTTGACAAACGTCGCCGTGTGAGGGTGCGACACAGCGCGACGAGCGAGTTCGACGAGGACCGTCATCTTGTCTGAGATGCGTAATCCGTAAACTCTCAAGTCGAAGTAAGAAGTCGTATATCCTGCAAAGTCGCAGTAGTATGAAAGTTGAGAAAGTGAGAACAGAAGAAACAGAAAAGGCAGACGGAAGTAAAAGGGTTGACAGGTGTATTGAAGTTGGCGCCGTCACAGCGCGGCACGGCGTGAGAGACAAGGAGGCGAAGTTCAGGCCAAGGCTATGCTGGCCCCCATTGACGCAACACGACGGCTGCCTGCTGTGCACGGACCACGTGCCGGTTAGCCGCCGATCTATAATTGGTCTCGTCCCAAGTCGATGCGGAGAATCGAATGTGCTGGAGTCGATTCACTGCATCTATGTTCCGACGTATGCGGTGCTCCACGACAATGTGATGGCCGTTTCTTTCATCGCGGAGGACACATGTGCTCTACTGACTGAGTTTCAATCCTGCATGTTGGCTACTGTATATGAGACATGTTCAGCGCCGCACCTGAGGCACAGTGATGGGCGAGCACGTAATCCAATACCTTCAGGCAACCTGTTGACAATTGGGGCCGATCTTGGGCGCCTCGTTCCACCCACTAATATCAATGTTTCACAATACGCGTTCAAGTGAACAGTTGTAAGAAGACAATATTTCATTATACCTCCCATCACACAGATGACGAGAAAGACAACTCCCATACCGTGATTATGTACCGGAACCCCACCCATGACAGACAGACAGGACTATTTCCAAACGCTGAGTGTAGAGAATACATGAATGCGCTAGACTAGAGATCAAGTAAAGGCTTTTAAAGAAAAGGGATACACAACGCTGACTCCGATTGCAATTTCAGGCTTGAGGACTACACACAGAAACCGAGCGTAAGTCGTTATACGTGAGCACCGTGAGAAGGGTACGTGTCAGAGATGGATTGTGGCGTATTTGAGTGTAGGAGCATGGAGGAGCCTAGCTACTCCAGATGAACTGGTTGGCGGAACAGCTTATAGAGCAGGCTGCGCGACGGGCTTCTCATCCTCGAGCTCCTCGTCGGAGGACTCCTCAGTAGCGGGTGCGTGGGTTGGGGCAGAAGGGAAAGCCTCCTTCTTGACCTCTGGGGAAGTGGAACGCCCGCGGTACTGGTTGACGGTCTCCTGGGCCTTGGCCGTGGCCTGCTGGGTGTATCCTTGGACAGTCTTCATGGCATTTCCAGCGTGCTGGTTAGCAAGACCCTTGACCTGCTGGGCCTGTTGGTTGGCGACGTTGTAACCCTTCTCCAACTGAGCATCAATGACCTCCTTGTTCTGGATGTAGATGAGGGGACCGAGGAAGGTAATAAATGTCGAGATCAAAGCCAAGCCCCAGAGGGGGACGAACTTGATGAGGAAGTAGGAGATGAAGGAAGCGAAGAACATCTAAGGGAGCGAGAGATCAGCCATCTTGTGCGGTGTGTGAAGAGGGATTATACGTACAGCAACAGTGACGTAGACGTTCTCGGCGAACATGATACGTTGAGACTCAATAACGAAGAAGTTAATGAGCTGCTCGAAGTCGTCGGTCATGCGCTCAAGCGAAGCCTTGGGAATGGTGTAGTACTGGCGGGGCCTGAACTGCGAAGTAAGACCACGTCCGAGAGCCATCTTTCCGACAACCTCAGCGGCTGCCGTAAGTCCGAGCACCATGTAGGACATCTTGAACATGTAGCGGATCAGGTTCAGGTATCGGGCGGCGAAGATGAAGAGGACAGTCGCACCGAACGCTATTCCGGTAGCGCGGGGGTTCTTCCAGCTCAACAGGCGGTAGAACATGCTGTGGTAGTCTGGTGCATGTTAGCTACGTGGTCGACTAGGGGGTTGAGTATAGCTTACGAGTGAGATTCTGGCCAGTCGCTGCCTTGTGCTCGGGAATCGTCTTGGAGTTGGCGAGATCAGCAAACTCGTTGCGCGTCTTTGCGCCCTCAGCCTTGACATTCTGTGCAACGGGACCTGTAGAGTTTAGCATTGGTCGTGTGCGCATTAGGCTGACGTGTGTGCTGCAAAACCACCGTTAGCTATGGTCCAAAGCGTGTATAGACGATCGTGTGCACATACCCTACCGTTCATAACTGTCTGCTTGGCGTTCTGGACGCTGGGGTGGTTGTTTGCGGCGTTCATGGCGTTTGAAGCTGCTTTGTGGGTGTGAGTTCAGGAAATCAGGTGTTGTGCGGGCGGCCGATAAGACTGCCATGTATCGCGTTAGCTTGCGTCTCGGTAAGGGTCAAAGGCGTTTTGTCCCACTCACCTTACTCTCTAGAATTCCATTCTTTGCCTTGATTGCGCTGTTTTGCAGGTCCTTGTTGGCGTTGCCGTTGGTCTGCGGGGCAGAAGAGCCGTCCATTTCCGATAGGAAGTCTGGAGTGCCGTTGGGGGTTTGCTGGAGGTCGAAATCGGTATCCGTGTTGGGGAGCTCAACGCGGGGAGCACCTGACATTGCTCGGAGATACAGTGGAGAAGAGGGGAATCACAAGTGGATTGAGAGGCAGAAGTGTGCGAGTGTAATAAGGAGCTGGGGTGTGTGAGAGTGTGGGAGGTAGAGGTGCTGCGGTGGATTTGTTCAGGCGCTGTCGTGTGCGCATTGTTGGGTATTCACCAAAAGCGGACGTCATGGCCCCACCCTGATCTAGCCATGATTTGTTTTCCACTGCCACTCACGACGCGCCTCTGCACATAAGGTAACAGGTTTCACGGCAAACGATGTCATGGGGATACATATGCATCATTCCAGCAATGCCTGAAACCGCATTGCTGCGTGTCGACTTGCTGTCTCCGCGGACGATTCTTCATGGGGCAGGCCCAAGCTCGACCGGTTTCACATGTGAAAGATGGCCAGGTGGTCTTGATTCCCCTCATGACGCAACCCTGATCTGGCATTTCAAGACAGTCTTGCACGTCTCACGATACGTCTCCCCAATCGTACACGTACCAGATACTCCTGTTTGCCTTGTGCATATTGTTGATCATAATGGATCCACATTTGTCTATGCCAGGTCCCGGACAAACTCCCCTGTGTCGATCTTCCTTTTATCCAATGTCCGACTTTCTTTACCATAGAACAAGATGGAGTTTGCTCTTGCTGCATCACCCAACATCGTAAACTGCGCGAAACTCTTTTCACGATTTTCTCCTCCGGTAGTGCGCAATGCACGCCAACGTCATAGGAAACATGTATCCCCACTTTACTCACGCTGTTAGTGCTGGTGGACGAGCTAATATCGCGCTGAACGATGCTGTGGGCTCTGCTCTCCGTCTGTGCAACGTCTCCCTCTTAAGCCAGTAAAAGGGGTCGAAAAACTGAATTGGAGTCCAGCTCATGGACACCGATGAGCCCCGTAGTGGTTCGTATCGTTTTATTGCTGCTGGGCAATGGGCCGAAGTGAGTTGATTAATCGGGTATCTGAACATGTGGAACCAGGAGGACCGATCACGCGAGCCTAAGCCTTGCGGCCATGTTCACGATGGAAGCCACGGATAAGGACTTTGGCGATGCGCACATGAAGATCATGGCTATGCATGAGCCTCGGAAAGCAAGAACAGCGATTGCGAACCTCGCAATCTCGGGGTGGTATATCTCTTCGGAAGTAGCGCGTGTGATAATCTGGTCGCAGCGCCTTTGATGGGAACTAAATGTCGTCTGAACTTTGTAGTAGCAGGGCGAGGTCGTAGTGTTCGAGGGTGTCTTGTCGTATGTACGCATTGTACATAGGAATAGAACAGTACACTATTCATGGGTGCAAGGACGATAGTCAGATATGTACAGATCACTAGGGCGGATGAAGGATTGTGGACGGGATGTCGTTATCGGTCATTTCGCTGCGTTCGCGGGGCAGCAGCGACACTGTTGGTAATATGGCCGTTCGCGGAGGTTTCAACGTCAGCATTCAGCAAGGACCATGTCCTCGAAGATTGCGCTCTTGTCTGTCTGGGCATCACCATGATATAGCTCAGCCTTTGTGGTAATGTATGAATCGCTATTGTTATCGTAACAGGGAGCACCTTCGCAAGGCAGGTGCGAAACGGGATGGCGGGGGTCAGGGTCTCACGAGGCAGGCGCAGACGCACAGGGCACTCTACCACGCGACAGTCGGGAGGTGGGGGTCTGCGAAATGGCGCATCTCCAAGACCAACACTATAGCCGGGCGAAGAGTCACGATAATTGTGCGGCAATGCGCACACTTGTGCAGCGACTAGTGAGGTTGTTGGACGCCATGCCCACCGGCCTCAACCCCGGGATTCGGGTCTGTTTCCACGCCTAATCCAGCGATAATCAGTGTCATCGATCAGTTGGTGGCCATCTCCGTTGGCCTGCCGGAGCTGATTATCCTGAGGCTTGGGTGTGAGGTGCCAATGCCCCAGGAGCCTCCCAGCGGTCAGCAACCGCTGCATTCAGGTCTGAGGGGCGTTTGACCTCCCGCCTTTGCGCCGACAGGCCCCAATCGCTTTGTTTGGAGATAGATAGAGCTACAAGCGCCATAGCGGACGCGCAGCACCATTGGAATTATGCAGGTGGCCTCAGCAGGGATGCATCCGACAGCCAGCAACAGGTCCTCCCGTCGCGATGCTCGGCTTTGGACTCGAGCCGTGATTGCCAATGTCGAGCCCATTGCCCTTTGTTGTGGCCAGGACGTGTCACGGCAGTGTCAGCCAACGCCTATCAGCGAGGACCAGGAGTTGGAACCAGGAATGCTGGGGTTGGCAGGCCATGGCACCAGGCAGCCCGCGCGCCTTTGGCGATCGAGGCGGGCTCCAGCGAATATGTGGCGTACCTCCGAAGTCCTGGCCAAGGTCCAGTCTGCCGTTGCGATAAGACCCACTCACACGCGCAGCAGCTTCCGTTTATCACGCCTCTCGCAGCCGGTGACTTGTCTCGCTCTTCAACTTCACTTTCACCGCGCTTTCGCACCGCTTGCAAACGCGCGTTGAGGCTACAAACTTAGCTTGACAGCATACCCACTCTGCCATCCCAGATCCTCGGTACGCCAGCAACGTCAGCCAGAAAGAGCGACATGGTCAAAGCGCACACATCGCCATCCCCAACTCGTCACCGCTATCGCTGCCACGCAAATTCGGCACTGAGCACGCGACTACCAAACAGCTCACCCTCTGCGGAGGCGAGAGTCTGTGGGGACTTCTCAACAGCAGCATGATAATATCTCGCGACCTGTACAATGCCTCTCCACCGCTGCGCCGAACCCGCATGGCCAACAACCCGACTCTCTTGTATTCGTGGTGGTGCACCGTTTTCTCTGCCGTCATCATAGGCGTCCGACTGTCTGGCCGCTACATCCGCAATGAACGACTCTTCCGCGAGGACAAGATCATGGCGCTCAGCATCATCCCACTGTTTGCGCGTATGGGCTTTGTGCACGTGGTCCTCATCTGGGGCACCAACAATGTCAATGTTTCGACTTTGACAGACCCGCTCATCATCCGCCATCGCGAGATCGGTTCTCAGATGGTCCTCGCCTCGAGGATCTTCTATGCGTTGTTGTACGTGCAGTCATCAACTTTGTTAGAGTGCGACTAACCCCATGCCAGCATCTGGATGGCCAAGTTCACCGTTTCCGAGTTTCTAAAGCGTTTGACAGAACGTTTCTGGAAGAAAGGGTACGATTGGGGACTGCGTGGCATACGCATCTTCCTTGTCGTTACTTTCTTCATGGTCCTCATTGCCACACTGGCAGAGTGCCACCCCACCTCCCACTACTGGCAAGTCGTGCCGGATCCAGGACCGCAATGCCGACAGGGTTACGCGCAGCTGCTGACCATGGGAATCACCGACATCGTCACCGATATATTTCTGATCGCCTTTCCGATTCCGATCATCGTGCGTTCGAGCATGCCATTAAAGCGAAAGATCTCTCTCACTGTGCTCTTCTCCTTGTCAGTCGTCCTGATCGTCGTAACTGGGACGCGAATGCCTCTGGTCATCCAACGACAAGGCCTACAACAGTTCCGCACTGTATTCGCTTCTTCGGAGATCTTGGCTGCAACCATAGTTTCAAACGCCATCATCCTAGGATCGTTCCTTCGCGACCGAGGTGTCAAGAAAGCCAAGTTCAAAGCACCATCAACTACAGACAGCATGGAACGCAGAGGGTCTGCAAGACGCTTCACGGACCAAACATGCAGTAGCGACGAAGACCTCGCACGATCGCTAGGGTACCGGACAAAACCCGAACTACTCGAGAAGCAGACAAGCGTTCCTAGACCAGCTCCTGTGGCTGATCTTGACCTTCTGTCGTCTTCTAGACAACCAGGCCCTTTTGTCAACAACAACTGGAGATTCCCCGACGAAGAGGCTGGCATGATTCAGAGCAGCGACCGATCCAGCGTGACAGTCGAAGATATACGGGATCCGATGCCTAGTCCTCGTGCAAGAAGAGTGTCGTGGTTCGACGTTGGAGGCCTGCTTGAGAATCAAACTGTAGCTCCCTCGCCCACCGATTCAGTCATCGCGCACGACTTCGCAACCCAGCCACGGCGGGGGTCCAGAGCCTCGAACACAATCATACCAAATGCGCGTGCATTTTTGCCTCAAGCACGGCGCAACTCTCGACTTTCGCAACAGTCTGAGGACTACGAGATGTCGTCTGTCCGGCCCGCCCACCAGTTGCAGGACCTCGGCGGCTTGCTTTCCGAAGATCGCGAACAAGAAGAAGCTCTCTCAACCCCCTCTCCACACTCGGGCTCCTCAGCCGGTCCTCCTCGCAATGAGCGATACGCGCCCATACAACGCACGTCAACGCGCTCAACACAAGCAAGCTACGATGCTCTGTCTCTACGAGATCCTGGAGGCTTGCTTTCTTCCGCACCCCCTCCCACGTCTCATCGACGCAACCCTACCCAACATAGCCGCAACGTGCCGTCCTTACAGGATGCTGGCGGCCTTCTTGGTTGACGACTCCCTTACTACTTTACATACCCCCTGCGTGATACCCCGGCCTCCATGGCCTCTTTGCATATGCATAGCCTGCCTAATGCTTCCCATGTTATTTTTTCCTTTTCTTTTGTATAGTACGCGAATCGTCCCCACGTGGCGGTCGCGATGGGTTGATGACTGATGGGTTACGACATTTCCGGATGCGATACCCATGGGCCATCAGAGATCTAAGATGTATGTCGGAGATTACGATCTAGAGTCAGGACTTGTGTATAATAGCAATATACCCAACGCGTGGCGTTGTTGAGGCGTACGTCACGGCAGTAGATTGCCGACCCATAAATGAAGTCAATATGCACTCTCGGCTCCTTGATCCTACATCCGGGTGGCACACGTGTGAAGGCACAGGGTTTACGCTAAAAGGAAGTCGAAAAAGCGATTACCGAGCGCATGGTTCAGCATCCAACGCTCCAGCCGTGTGGAACGAATAGCGTTCGGGTATTATTCACGATGTCTTGGCTGTCAACGGCGCGGGAAAGAGCTGCAGGGCGTCGGTCAAAGCTCGCACTATTACCAACAGCAACCACCGTGCCACTCTAGCACCCTTTGCGGTAGCCATTCAACACCATCGCGAAAGTGGTGCTGTCAGATATGAGCAATGACGCGCCGACGCTTGGAGAGATTACCCAACTAACCCGTCAAGAACTTACTACGAGGCAGAAGACCGATCCTATTCGCGAATGCGGACGCGCCGCGCTCTCGCTCCTTCCCAACGACTTCGAGCTTGGCCTCAAGCTTGCGTATCAGAAACTACACGATGTGCCGTATAGGGAGGTGAAGACGTGCTGGCGCAGGCTGTACACGGATGCGAGCTTGTGGAAGGTGTTGAAGCTGGTAGGCGACGAGCGTGATGAGCACCTGTGCGAGACCCTCCCGGAGGCTGGGGGCGACAAAGAAGAAGTCGATTCAAAGAGTGACTGGGTCGACGAAGTGGTGCGGATACTGGATATGACGCTCATACTGACAGGCGCACCTGAGAGGGAGGAGCTCGTAGAGCTATGGTTTGCAGCGCTGAAGGCTGTTCTAACTCCTCCAGGGTCTCATCTTCATATCGACGATCCAGAACGGCCGCGTAAGAGAAGACGACTATCATCTGAGTGTAAAACTTCGCGCATACCAGCAAGCTTCGCAAGAATGCTTCCCGATCCTCCACCCACCCTTCGGCACGCGATCCCACGAACGAACGAGCTCAGTCTGAAGGCTTTCCAGAAGAGAGTCGGCGACGCAAATACACATGAGCCACTCGTAATCGAGGGTGCGATTCAGCATTGGCCCGCTCTCGATGAGAGGCCGTGGAACGACCCAGCATATCTGCTAGAGCAGACGCTTGGTGGTAGACGGCTTATACCGATAGAAGTTGGAAAGAGCTATACCGATGAAGGTTGGGGCCAGCGCATTACCACCTTCCGTGACTTCATGGAGACTTACATGCTTGAGAGAAATGGAGAAGTTGCTTCGGCTGCAGACCACATGGACACGACCCAGAGTCCTGAACTCGACGAGGCGGACAGCAGCACGAAACCCACACCCACCGGCTACCTAGCCCAACACGACCTCTTCGCCCAAATCCCCTCCCTCCGCGCCGACATCAGCATACCTGATTACTGCTACTGCGAGCCCGCTCCATCTCCCCACCTCTCACACATAAAACCCGTCGCGAAGCTTGAAGAACCTCTTCTCAACGCTTGGTTTGGCCCCGCAGGCACTATATCACCCCTTCACACCGATCCCTACCATAACATCCTCGCGCAAGTCGTAGGCTACAAATACGTGCGCCTATACGCACCTGCAGAAACGCAGCGTCTGCATCCGAGGAGTACGGATGAGAGTGGTGTGGATATGAGTAATACGAGTCAGGTTGATATGGATGAAGCTATGGCTTTGTATCCTGCAATATCTTGTTGGGGGACTGAGGAAGGCTGTGAGACTGGCGAAGATGAGGCTCTGTGTGAAAGGAGACGGGAGTTCGAAGAAGACTACCATGGGTTCAAAGACGCACAGTACATCGAAGGTATCCTAGCACCCGGCGAGTGTCTCTACCTACCCATGGGTTGGTGGCATTACATACGTAGTCTCACGCCTAGTTTCAGCGTAAGCTTTTGGTTCAACTAGACAATCCTCGTATTTCTCTTCTTCCATATATCACACATTCAATCCATACACATATCCATCTCTCTCTCCCACCCACCAGTCTTCCCACATCCTACATCTTACTACCACCCCTCCTTCTTCCTAGTAACCCCCCAAACACCCACCAACACCCCCCGCACCCACACGCTTTCCACATCCTACATCTTACCACCACCCCTTCTCCCTCCCAGCTATCCGCTTAGGCACGCTGCGCACGGTCTGGACACCGACCACACACACCCTTCAACGCCCCGCGATGCACTGTATCCGGCACTCCGCTTCCACAGACTCCATCGCGCTCGTTCCAGTATGCACATCGCCGGTAAAGATCTGTGTAGACACAATAGCAGCCTTCGTAGGTGGTTTCGTCCCATTCGCACATGGTTGTGTTGGTATTTGGGGTGGTTGAGAGGATGGTTGAGAGGCTGGAGGGAGGTGCCTTGGTGAGGGATGTGAGGGATGTGAGGGGTGTAGGATTGAAGATGGTTGGGTGTACGTGAGTGCTGAAGGTGGTTTGAGGGTGGTTTAAGGTATTTCAGGTATGTGCTGTGCTTGGGTAAAGTGTATGATTTGGGTTGTGGAAGAGAGTATGGGCGTCAGCAAGGAGGAAGGAGGAAGAGACAGAATGCTTTTATACGGTGTATGTGGTTTGAAGTCGCGGGGTTGAACCTCATTCCTCGTATGAAGATATCAAATATGTCACCATCACTACGACTATTAGTGTCTGCTCTTCCATCAGCGTCGTGATGTTTCTCGTACCATGATCTGCATCTCTCTGACTGATATACATAAACTCCCCTGTTGGAAAGAGACCAAATCAGTGCTTCCATGTTGTTCGCAACCGTGAACATGGAAACGACACAGAGTACATTACCTCACCCCACGTCGCTTGTAAAAGTTACGGTATGTCTCAGACTATCATTGCACTCCGGCACCCCCATTGCCCCACTCCCTCCCCTCTCTCCTCCACCCCTATACTACCCAAAAGCCGGAGCCAACGCATACCCCACAACCAACTCCTCGCCCTGCCTAAAGCAGCTCCACAGATTCCCGACTCCCTCATCCAACGCAGGACTAAACACATTGCCCACATAGCAAAACACGCTTTCATGCTCCTTCACACCCAGTCTCTTCCGCAGAAAACGTACTATTGTTGCGAAAGTCTGGTTGGTGGACAGCTTGAAGATGCGTTGGGTTAGGTGGGGGGCTGAGCCTATGGGTTGGAGGCGTATTGTTACTATGGTGGGAGGTTAGCGGGAAGTGAGAGAGGGGAGGTTGACTGGGACGGGATGGTAGGAAGTAGATGGGGGATGTCAAGTGTTTTCGTTGATGATGGGTTGGAACATGGGTAGATGAAAGCGGACGGGGATACCTTTCTGAACAGCGAGATTTCCTGCTGTTTCCAACGCTTTCGAGGCGTCTTTGGGGAGATTGGTTAACACGACTGAGGCTGCCATGGTGAGAGGCGCTTCTGTTGTGTCATCTTCCTCAGGCATCCTCTCTTTTGGTGATTCGGACATGGTGAGGGTGGATGTGTACTGATGCGAAGCGAAGAGTGAAGTGTGGATACAGCAGCTATTTTGGGGTGACGGTCAAAGGTCCAAGAAGAGGAATGCGGACTGATTTGAGAAAAGCGAATGTTTGTGGGTTAGTGTTCGTTCGAGGCAAGAACGGTGGTCACGATGGAAGGTGTAAACGTCGGCATAGCCAATCAGCGCCCCACTACCCCAACATCACTTCTCGAATGCGCAAGACCGTTCATCAACCATGTCATCTTTCGCATTGATATCTAGTGTTTTCTACATATCTGATACGATAATGATATATAACATAGCCTCCAGTATGGCGTCGTCCGCGTTCGTCGCCAAGTAACCTCCTCAGTATGACAATGTTCTACAAACCTCAATAGTAGTACTAACCCTCGTTTACTGAAAACACACGCGTGCACACCACCAGCCAGCCGGTTTGCAAAGCGCAACAACCAGCAAAGATGACCCGAAGGTCATGACGCAATAGCTATATACAAAGGGGATGCATGCATCGTTAAGCCACCAGGGATCAGTGATCATGGGCCTATACAGGGTAAGGAAATGGAGCAAGTCAAGCTGTGTCGCCAATAAGGGGAAAGGTAGAAGCTGCGCCTCGAAAATGCTATGGAAACGGGTATTCGCTCGCAGAGTAATGCCATGCGCCCGGGGGCGAGAAGTGAACAACAGGTGCGATAGGAAATTATGTCGTGGGTATTAGTGAGGTCGTGCATTACGCCGTAAGGAATGCAATGTGTGGCCGTGTAGTCTGCATGAGCCGCAAGGCTCATCGACGATCAAGTTGGGCGAGTAGCTGATCAAGCTCAACCCAGTTGTCCGTGGTGACTGCGAACTTGCGGTGCTTGCGGGAAACGACGTGCTGTATGTTGTCAGTATGCTGTTTGTAAAGGAATCCTCGTAGTGCGTACCTCGTCAAAGTCATTGAACTTCTCCCTGCAGTTCTCGCAGTAACCAGGCTTCAGCTCCTTCTCAGCAGTCTTGCGCCTGCGGAGGGCAGCTGCTTTACGAGCTTGTCTTTCTTCGTCTCCATCATCGTGTGTGTGACCCATATTCTCCTGGGCCTTGCGCTTTGCCGCGCGCATGGGTTGAGAATGCTCATAGCTGAGCGCAGCCCTGACATCGTTTGTAACGGACGAATGGCCACTGTTCGTATTCGCCGACGGTACGCTGTTCTTCTCGAGGACCTTTCGTTTCAGCTGGTTGACTTCCTTGCTGTTTCCAGCACGAGGGGCAGCAGCAGTCGAGGAGATCATTTGCGAGCGGATAGCGGACGTGATGTTCGATTGGTGTAGACCAGACGCGACCGGCTCACCAGCGATGAAACGGGGCATGGCTCGGATGCTAGCCTGAGCACTGCCAAACATGGGTGGTGGGCCGTCTGCCGTGTTGCATCGCTTGGGGGGAAGGGCCTTCGGAGGATCTAACGGTTTCGCATCTCCATCCTGTTCTTCTTTGACGATGGCAGCAGGAGCGCTGGGACGCCTTGCCAGGTTGTTGTTCTCTCCCAAAGCATTCTTCTCTTCCATAGCTGAAGCAGCACGCGTCCGTGGCGCTTGGGCAGCCTGCCTTCGGCGTGCTTCCTGCTCTTCTTGCTGTCGGCGGCCGAAATGGGGATCCTCCACGAATGGGCACTTGCCGTTACCGGAGGCACGGAACTGCGGCCATTTGCCCTTCTCTTTCTCAACCTTCTGGTATTCTCGGATCATGACGGGTCGGGTAACCTCGTCCATATCGTGCACGTAGACGTAGTATCCACGGAGCGGAATCATGTCCTGCGAGGCCATGACGTAGTCGCGGTCCAACTTCTCATTTTGTAGCAGCCTTTGCAGATCGGCAGGACGACCCTTGTGCTGCGTAGCCACCGCCTGACGTGTCGAATGGGTAGACGCGTCCTCCCCAGTTTCCTTGTTGAACATGGTATCCACCATGCGCTGCAACTTCTCGACGGACCATATCTTCATACCCAAGCTCTTAGCCTTGTACAGGATATCACCACGGTCGGACTTCTCGAGGGCGGCATCGAAGATGGACTTCTTGTTCTCCAGCTGGGCCGGATTGACGGTACCTTTGTGGGAGGATGAACTGCCATCGAGGTCGGCGGGGATGGAACGCGTCGTGATGACATGGGTGACTTCCCGAGAGAAGAACTTGACTTCTCGCTGGTGACTGTTAGCACGACGGATGTAGGGAAGGGTATGCCAGACGTACGGAACCTAGGACGCGTGCCCTGTTCAAAAGTTTGTCTTTCTGGGGTTCTGAGACGCTGTCAAAGTAGAACGCAAACTGGGGAAACAGCTTGCGGTAGTGACGCTGCCATTGTCGAATCGTTTCTAGGTCGTGTGATGCACGCTGTGCGGCCTGCTTTGACGGGGCCTTGGTCTCTCTTGCTGCTTCCAGCTTGCGAGTCAAAGCCGTGGGCTGGGCCCCACTCCGACGAATAAGGCCGTGACGGCGAGCTTCAGCATCATCGACCTCGATGAGCTGTTTTTTGGGTGGTGGCTGGCCATAGGGGACATCGCGTTGCTCGCTGGCGTGGGAGCGTTGGCGCTTTCCTCCTATGGCAGTCGCGCGTAACGGGGAGTTGGTAGCGTTTTGCAGGTTGGCGAGGGGGACGCGCCGGTTCGACATGACTGAAGGAACCTGGGGCGACGGAGGAACAGCCACAGCTGCCATACGTAGGATAGCGGCTGAGGGTGCTTCGAGGTGTAATAGATGGGCGTGGTGGGAGGGGCACGTGTGCGTGTAGCTCACGACGCGACGGTACAGGCACGTCGAGGTTTTCTAGCAACGCGTAGCAGCCATGTCGATGCGAGGGAGCTTCAGAGACCGAGTAAGATGTTGACGACACAGCAATTGAGCGAAGGTGAAGCGCGTTGCAGACGTCGATCTGCTTTCATCGACCAAGGAAAGAGTGTCTTTGTTTGGTCCGGAGGCTGGGTACAGTATGATGCAGGTGCAGGCTAGAGCGACTGTGGTTAGCCTGAAAATCTCGCGCGAACCATCCACAACATCATTTGCCTAGACAACGACCTGGGCAAACAATACACCCTTGCCGACAACACCGTCAGTGCGCCCTGCACGACATCTCGCGTCTGCGAATCTCCCACCGTATTGCTGGCTCACGATTCAGCGTATCAGGGGAAGATTTGCAGCTTCTGCATGCGGCGCGCCTTTGCTGCTTGCACTGACGCCGACCCCACTTCTCCTGTCTCCTGTCCTGGGAGTAATTCGACGGCGAGCGCTGCACCATTGGGCCCGTCTCATTTCGCGTCCTTAGGCCAACACTGGCTGGTGGAAAGCTCCCGCGTCTTCCATTTCCATGGGACCGTGACAGCTTCAAACTTATCAAGGGTCTGGATGATGGAGGCTTTTGTGGGTAGCCGGAAGTGTCACCCACCTTGGCCGCGACTTTGTTCTATGGGCCGCAAAACACCGGAAGCGTCAGGAACAGTGCATACGGAAATAGACAAAACACACACATACAAAGACGTCATGTCGGTGATGTACGTTCTGGGTGCTGCCATGTATTCAACAGGTATTGGCAAGACGCAGGTTTTCAGCAGAGTATGCTTTGAGATGACATGGATTTTGCATATACGGTCGTAGTTGGTCCTGAACACAGTAGGTCCGCTGTTGTACATACGTTTCTACACGCTTCTTCCATGTCTTTCAATACGTTCTCGCACTCTCCTTCGTTCTCGTGGCTATCAAATTCTCGATTTTCAGCGCTGGCTCGTCTGGAGCTTTGCTACCTTGCCACCCTGTACCATATCCCGTCGATGTTACTTCATCTCCTGTTACTTTCATTATCGTATAGAATATGTGGAAGCCAGAACTCTGCGAATATAAACAAGTGTGATATCAGACTTGTACATCAAGACCATGATCGTAACACCAGGTCGTCTATTTTTCCTCTACGTCTTGCTCAGTAAAAGGTTCACGCATACAGATAGTAACCTAATCATGATTGTAATACCAGGTCGTCCATCTTTCCTCTACGTCTTGCTTAGTGAAAGGTTCACGCATACGGATGGTGACCTGGTCATTCACTTTGACTTGGGCCAAACGCAAACAGAGACCGCCTATAAATTCTCTGGACTGCGTGTTTCTCGCACCTCCACTCTCCTAACTCGACTATATACCGGATCGTAATCATGACCGATTCCTATCGTCCGCCGTACAATTCCGACCGACAATGGACACCAGCGTCTGCACCTTCTGAGGCTGCGCTCAACTACGACGACGCGGATGTGAACCGTATTCCGATCAATCCTCGCCGTTCCAACGCCGCAGTTCCAGCTCAATCATCACGGCTATGGGATGAAGACCTGAACTCCCTTATGCACCGCACTATCCGCGCCTACGATCTCGTCGTGAACTACGACCGCGATTCCTACGGCGGTACCCGCTGGTCACGCGAGGACATCGCTCGCATTCGAGACGTCGGCGCTTATCTTCATGGCGACGTCCGCGATTTGAAGCACTGGAGTGAAGTGGTAGCAAAGGAGGGAGAGCAAGATGCGTACACTATGGACAAGATCCGCGATGACGTCGAGAATCTGCGGAAATACTGCGACCAGATTCAAGCCATCATCAGGGATACCGAACGTGTTCCTCTGCGCCAACGTATGAAACGAGAGGATGGAGTGCAGGCTGGTCAGAATGTGGATGATGACCATGGTTTTGGTGGTGGTAAGAACAACTTCCCTAGAGGTGGCACCCTAGGTACTGACTTCTCGCTGCCTCCAGACACCAACCAGCTCGTCGAGAGCACTCAAGAAGGCGAGGATATGGACGTCGAGATGAGTACCGACCTGGAGGAGAAGCTTGAAGTGGTCGATCCGACACTTAACCCACGGCAGGCAGACTGGGCGACTGCACCTTCAAAGCGATTTGCTTGGTGAACGGTCGTACATATTGGTAGCCTTCTGAAACGTGCATTCTTGCAACAGACACTGTATAACGAGTACTAGACTAGTTCACATAGCACGTTGGCGTCGTGTGTGACGAAGCAAAGATATCCAAATGTTCATACACGTTTTCCACGTTCCAGCTGATTGGTGCTCGGTGCTCGGCTATCTCAGGACCCCTGCGCAACGGCCTGCACCTGTGGTGTGAGCGACTCAACGCTTTCACATGCTTGCTACTCACAACTCTCGAAAATAGCACGGATTCGGAATAATGCCGTCTGCGCCAAACGAGGATAGCCGCTATGCGGCGGCTGTCGCAGCTCTAGGCTTATCTCGTATATTTCTTCATCTTCGATCTCGACCCATTTCCATTCGGCTGCTTCCTATTCGTGTGCGCTTGCGGAAGAGTCTGGGTGAAGCCGCCGCTGGGATCTACGACCGCACAGCTTGGTGGATACGCCCGGGAGATAAGCCGAAAGTATGCTGAGGGTTGAACGCGCTGAAATCTGCACGTCGACTCTTGACACGCCGTCTCTGATGGAAGGAGAGGAGACCAGCTTCCGACCCAGTATGCTCTACAGCGTCCTGCCCACCGTCGTATCGAACCATCTTCCGACGATACCTTCTCTCAGACAATCTCTCAACGACGTACGAAACCGCGGATCACATAATAAATCAGCCTCAGTCGACGAACTACCACAGCCCGAGACTCCTCCTCCAGGTTATTCGTCGATACCCCCCAGTGGCTCTGTCACACCACATAGATTGTCAGTTGCGTTGGGGGAGGCAGACGTCGACTTCGTAGATGATGGACTGGACAGACCTGGCTCTTCACGAAGCGCACTTCCACAGCCACATGGTGCCCATGAGGGCGGCTGTGGCATTAGATGGAAGTATGCTACTTTAGGTATAGAATGTCGCTCGCGAATGTGGGCATTGCATGCTCATACCTTACAGGAACAAGCCTTGTGGCTCAAGCATCTCGAGAATCAAGCGAATCGATCAGTAGCCCCGACGAGACATCCGCGACGCTGACCCGACAACTCTACATACACGGCATAACGTACCTACTGCGAGGGCTACCAGCGAAGCTCACCCCAGAAGAGACGTTGAGCATACAAGCGGCTCTTCCACAAGACGTGGTCGACACAACGAACGACGTGAATGCGCACGCGTTACTCCCAGTCTCGCAACGCAGCCCTAGTACTCAGAGAGCGCCTCCACGAGACCCCACGATCCTGCACCGTCTGACTGCCACCCTCGTCCTCCAGTCCTTCATCCTCATACAGTTCCTTCTACCATACATCAAGCTATTCCTATCACACACCTACCAGTTCGAGAGGAAGCATCAGATCACCAAACGGCTCGTCAATACAGGCGTCGCGACTGTCGACGATATCGGACGGAAGACGCTGCGGCTGTCGCAAACCGTGTGCCAGATGAATGATGGCATGGTAGGACAGGCGATCAACGAGATGACCATCTGGTGGGTTCGAGGTGTCACTGGAGGCGTTCAACAGGGTCTCGCAGAGGGATTACAAGCTATGAGGATAGCGGAGAGCCAGCGGGATGAGGAGAGTATGGGACGGATCAATTGAGTAATTGGACTGCATTAGCTATGGCGTCAGGCATTTGCATAACTTCATAGACTGACGAATTAATGATGTGCATCGACTGTTCCGCTCGAGCTGCTGGACCCTGATCATGTTCTACACGTGATCTGCCTCTTATCGTTATCGGGCGGACTTCCTAGCGCGTTGTCGACGCACGTCCCTTGGAAAAGTGCAATGGCAAAGTTTCTAGCGGTAACATTCTAACGAGTACACGCCATTCTTTTCTCCTCATTCGCCGTCTTCTTTCCAGGCGCACACGTCGAGTACTCTAGTTGCTCATTCTAATCGTTCAATATACCCTCTGTTACGAACGAGTGTGTACCGTTACCCGCACATCATGTTCGGCGCAGTGAGAAGATGTCCCGCGACCATCGCGAGGAATCTTGCCTCAATTTCCACCAGGACCCTCCGCACACCCTTCCCTAATACCTCGAGCGCTCTGAGAATACCATTACAATCGGCGCGCCTCGGAAATGCCTCGTTCGCCGGTTTCCACAACAGTGCCGCAAAGTGGCAACAGGAGGCCCAACAGAGCATTGAGGAAGATGGTCCCGTCACAGAGTTCCAGGACCTGGCCACACGCGGCCTGGTTCATCCCAACCTAATCAACACCATCACGAAGCAAATGAAGCTCACGACCATGACGGACGTGCAGTCCAGGACCATCAACGAGGCCCTGAGTGGGGTTGACATGTAAGATCTTTTTTCGATCGCAAGATCAATTCGCTAACATCCGGCAGCATCGCACAAGCAAAGACCGGTACCGGTAAAACACTCGGTTTCCTCATCCCTATCATCCAACGAATCATCGCGAACGACCCCCAGCTCGGCGAGAAGGTCAGAGGATACAAGCGCGCCAGACCAGACGACATCCGCGGCATTGTTATTTCGCCAACCCGTGAACTGGCAGAGCAGATCGCTGTCGAGGCGAAGAAAGTGACCGCCGGCACGGGCATCATCGTGCAGGTTGCTGTCGGAGGCACACAGAAGAGGGCTATGCTTCAAAAGACTCAGCGCGAGGGGTGCCATCTCATGATTGCTACTCCCGGACGACTAATGGACATCCTCTCAGACCCTTACTCCGGTATCAAGGCACCAAAGCTCA